TAACTATGTCATGTTCTTCAGAAAGGACACCTCACTGTGACAATGCGACTAGGGATGAGACAGTGATGGAGGAAAAGAGAGGAGCGCCATGGATTGTGGCCAAAATGTACTTCCTCTTCTAATTCATTTACAATCTGACAACAAAAATAAAATAAGGGATAACTCCAAAGGGTGGCGCTAATAACATTACAGATCAATACCTCGCCAACTTTAATTTCTTTGGCTCCATCTCCATGAATGATTTTAGCTAGATATCCTTCCTCCATGCATTCCATCTCTACCGTTGCTTTATCCTACAAATTAAACCAAGGTACTTAGAAAACATGATGAGTAAAATGCAGGAGTCAAAACTTTCATCAACTGCAAAAACATAAAAGCAGACAAAAGGAGGACTCTACTGTTTCGACTTCACAGAGTACTTCGCCAGGAGAAACTTTCTCTCCCTCTTTCTTCAACCATCTTGCAATATTACCCTGAATTTCACAGAAAAAAAAAAGATCAGTTTAAGGTGAAAACAATAGATGGAAAACAGTGTGATGGTCTCCTGGGTATTACCAAGGTACATACCTCAGTCATTGTAGGCGAAAGAGAAGGCATCCCAATCTCTTGGTGGGAAGGAAGGCCTAAAAGATAGCACACAGATTCCTTAGTATACTAGGATATTGCAACTATACAATCAAATGAAATACTTCTTAATAGTAATCTGACAAATCATATTACACACATATTGCAGAATTTCATTCAAAACAGAGAAATACATGAGAAAAACCAATCATAGAATTGAAAGAACGTTATCGCACATAAGCATACAATTTTATGTCATTGTGAACAAGTCTTCGGAGGAAAAATAACATAAACAGGCTGACACTGCTTGCACAGTTGTGTTGACAATTCCGATACTGTTCAAGGCTTTCATCTAGAGTTACATTTACAACAACAGGCGTAAACTGTAAAAGCTTTCAGTTTTCTTGTATATAACCCAGATGTAATCAAGAGTCTACAAAACAAATGGTGTCTGACATCAGAGGTCCCCTCATGTAACATGTTCATGTACCTTCCAAATGTAATCAATTGAGGTAAGCGATCAATTGATTGCAGTTTGATAAGTGAACACTAAGCCATATCCATGGTAAGGTTCAAGATGCTCTTAAAGGGATAGTTGTGAGCCAGACTGATGTTACAATATTCCAATTATCGCTGGCAAGGATCATCTCCACAAAATGAAAAGCTTATAAGCAGGTTATGATTTCTAAGATAAAAAAATGGTATCATACAACTGTACCTGCATCAGTCGAAATATTTCTCCTGGGAAGCAACTGTGTACTGCTAACAAAACACAAAAAATAAGGTCTATATATTAAAGATGCTTAATAGAATTTGCAACGTGGGGCATAACATACCACGAAAAACTTCTGTTAAACACCAAGCAAGCCATAGGAGCATTTCCCTCACGTTTTTCTATTGATGAGATCTACACGAAATGATTTACAACCAATAGATTTCAAGCCTAAAGAAGGCAGAGGAAAGTATAGACAAAGTGTGTTGGGTTTAATCACCATGGCATGATTTATAGCTCTATGACTTTGACTATAGATGGCTGTACTGGAAGTGCATCCACTGGAAGACTTACAAACTCCATCTCTTTCTCCAGGCACACAACCAAATCGGCGGAACTTCAGAATATCTGAAAGCAACAGAAAAATAGTAAGAACTATTACATGAAAAAGCATAAAGTAAAAAAGCATGGCAGACCATGCTGAATCGCCACATACAAATGGAAAGTTAAAAGTTAAAACCATAAATCACAGTAAGATTGAAAACAAAATGAATGTTGGCATGCCTAGTGGCTAGGCTACCTTGCCCCCATACCAAAAATACCATGGGTCTACATTTTATAATAAGACAGACAGTAACTGAAACTAGGATCAGTATCAGATATTCATATACAACAACAGTACTTTGATTCCATTCATGTCGGGACACCGAGGATCTAAAACAATCTCTTTAACCTACTCCAAGCACATTTATATAAAAACAAAACTGTAGTGATGATATAGATTCACTGTAGAACAAACTTACCAAAAAAATTATCAAGTGATAGAATAACAAGGAAGAATGGTAAACAGTAGCTGACATTGAATAGGTACAACATAGAGAAGCAGGATCAGCTACTTACCATCTCCTAAATCAACAGAGGAGCGTGTGTCATTGGCAAACCAGCGAACCAGGATTGCATGATCCTGACGTAGTAAGGTCGGAGCATTTCTAAACTGTGAGGCAATAAAAAAGAGAACATCAATATCATTCAAGGAAAAATAAACACAAAAAACGAGGCAGCGAATCATCATGAAATTCTTTTTAAATATCAAAATCAACTAAACTTTGAGAAAACAAAATATATATAGCCAATCACCTAGCAACACATTTACAATTGCATGCTTCTACAATAATTGAACCCATAGAGAAGCACAAGAGATGATGGCTTGAGACAAGAATAGACTAATGCAAAAGACACTCCATCTGCTTTGAAATGAAAGGAATGATAAATAACTGGGCAGAATTTATAGTCCTTTTTTCATAGGAAACGAAACATTTTGTATTAAAATAAAAGCGGAAATACATGAAAGCCAAACAAAAATACAATGTAAGGCAAGAACATAAAAAGCCTATAGATCACATGATGCTCTCCATCCCAGAAGTACTGAAAGGGGCATTTACTTCAATTTTAATTTAATTATGCATTGACGAAGAAACAGCAAGTGTTGTGGCAGCTCAGCCATTTACAAACCGGGAAACCATAACGACCTACTAAATTTTACAATAAAAGTTTACTCCGCCGCGGGAAAATTACATCACGAACGCGATATCTTCTGATTAGCCATGATTCAAAACATTATATTGCAACTAATGCTAGACGCATCAAATAAGAAAGAAACGGGATTATCAAAGCTGTACATCGAAAAGACTCAATACGTGAATACGTCTGCATGTGCATAAATGTGTACATCTGAAGATCCAGAAAAAAATTGGAGTTGTGAATCTGAGTGTACCTTCTTCGAGTGACGGAAGATGTGAGATGCGTAAGTCATGGTACGGAGCTGCGGAAACCCTAATTCTCCTCGAGAACGGAGGACGGAGGAGCAGGGATTGATCGTCGCTGTTCGATTTTGAAATGGGGATGTCAAATTTTGTTTCGATTCTATTCGGTCGGGCCAATAGTCAGTCCACCACGATCGGTCTGGATCGCCTTTCTTTGA